ACTGTTWCAATTATGCAGTATTTCATAAGAAAAMCTCGTCAAAATCAATGCGTTTTAATTACGTTTTAGACCTTTTTTCATTTCCTTGACGACGAAGGAAAACGCTACAAGAACGTCGTTTGGAAGACTGAGCTGCCTAAGCCTAAAATTCCAATCGATCAGTAGGCCGATATAAAGGACAATTTGATTTGAAGATAGCTCCTGCCACTTTAAAACGACTCAATGTATCACTTTTGTTGAATTTACATGTTAGAAAACGTGAAGTTTTGAAGGCTTTTACCTGCAGATTAATGGTACGAATAATAACGATGTCTTTACAGAAACCGTAAGGCTCTATATGACTCCCTTTCTTTTACTATATCATATAATCAAAATGTGATACCACCTACCATTTTCTCTGATAGTGGATAATATTGTGCAATAGTTGTTGGTTAACTAAGAACGCGCACTTTTTGACCTTCACTAACATTTTGCGACTGTTAAGGAAACGTTTGACCAGATGCATGTATAAATCGTTTTATTAAACCGACGTCAATAATTCCATGTTATATTTTGATAAAAAGATTTACATCACAAAACATTTGAACCAAGAAAAGGTTACAAATATCACGCTGCTGAAAACTCACGGCATGACAAATATATTAATCTTCAAATATTAAAWTTTTTTTCTGAATTCTGTTCTACCACTGTTGTTATAATTCAACTTCTTCTGTTTCATACCTAAAATGAAAAATAAAGGAAAAATAAATAAAAATGCTTCAGATTTATTTTCATTTATTTACTGATTTATTGATTTATATTTTCCACATAAGTAATGCAGACTAAGTAGTGATGATGATGTGAGCAGACTTTTGATATTCTGCCCCTTTCGTCACCTTTTTCTACGACGCTAGCATCTCCATTCGCTAATTTCAATACGCGCGTAAGCGCTTATTCGTTCATCACCGCTAGGTTCTCTGTTGAAAAGCTTCTTTACGCGATTTTACGCACGCTTTCCGCACCTTTACGGCACCAGTCCTGCATTACGCAACTTCACGCCTCCATTACGCAAATTTACGCAYCCTCCACCAAAAATAGATCGTAACGTATCGTTTTATGTAAACTTTTCGACTGCTTTACGCAACTTTACTCCTGCATTACGTAACGTTACGCCTGCATTACGCAACTTTTCGCCTAGTATCTTACCAAGGTTTTTCTCCAAAATTCGTAGTCATGGAACCAAATGATATGTTATGTTGCGATTCCTGGTGAAAAAGAATTGTTTTTCATCAGTGCTTACAGCAAACAAGGTTTTTTTTACTATAGAAATGCATAGTTTGCTGGAACGACTCGCGCGTCTCGAAAACCACGAATTATTCATAACTTTACAACTTACCCTTGGTAAATGATAGTCGTCTCGTCGAGTCTGTCCATTGAAGGCGAAATTTCTATGATCAGCCCAAGAGATTTGAGCCCGCCTTTCAGGTGACCTGCTGCTATTCTCATTAAAAGAGTCATGCGCAAAATACTCTTGGTATGATAGTCCATCTTCTGGATCAGGTCCGTGCCAAGAAAGCCTATTATGCTGATTGGCTGAGTCGTTAYCCAATAACAATTCGAAATCATTCACTCTATCCCTTGTGGATTTAGACGGGTTTGGTGTTGAGTGTTTYAAGCCRTCCGGTCCATGCCAAGATAGRCTTGCTTGTTGATTGTTGGAATCGTGTTTTGTTAATAGTTTAGACGGCAACCCYTTTCGTAACCTTGTATTATCAAAMTCTTCCTTGAAGGACTTGCCTTTATTTGTACTCTCATATAAAGTTCTTTGCTGGTTATTTTCAYRTGARTCGTATCGGTTGTTTTTCTCAACKGCTCTATGTACAGSGTAAGGTTTTTCARGAGTCAWTTCAACGTGATCATGTCTCCCTGAGTTTCTATAAGACGTATGGCGATGTTCTAGTGGGGTAGCTACCAGTACTGTCTCGGTCGAACTTGCCGTTGAACGATCGGATCGATATGGGGATTGGGAGCGAGATGAACTCACGGAATTTGACGAGGACGAGTCTCTTGGTGCTGAATATAAAAAGAGTTTAAAAATAGTTCATAGTTAGAAAATGGTGGTTGGCTGAGCACAAGATACGCCGATACGCAGCGTAAAATGTTACCAGACCAACGTAAACTGTTTTAGTTCATAAGTTGGATAAGAAGTTGATTTTTTTAAATCCCTACTAACTTTTTGGTGGGACTTCGTGGACAATTGATTGTTTTCAATCATTCCCATGAGGTTCATGAGATAAAAGAGCGGCGGCCATGTTAGAGGAATGAACAATAGATACTAATGAGAAATTCTTTGTTGAAGTTCCTCCAAGATGGCCGCTGTGACGTAACATGAAAACGAAGAATGCTAAATTATTTATCATAGATAGAAAGTACATACCTTTGTTAACAACTTGGCCTCTAGAATCTTCAAAATGTACTCTTGTATGTTTTCTCGTCGTGAAGGTATCAGAAGAGTTAGAGGTTCTTGGAGATGGCCTAGTGACCACCGTTCGTTCATTAACTGACGGGGATACCCTGGTAACGACTGTATGTTCAATCGGAGGTACCCTGGTAACCACTGATCGGTCATGGTTTGACGGTGGTGGCCTGTTGACTACTGGTTGTTCAGTTGTTTTTGGAGATGACGATCTGATAARTTTATCGAAGTCTGTTGTCTTGTAACTGTGTTAAGCAAAGTATAGTCATGTCTTAATTCAGTTAAAGTTTTAAAGTTACTACTATTTACATTATTTATATAGACTCTTACTTGTTATCATGGTCAACAGTATCGTCTGTGTTTGATTTCTCCNNNNGCATTTCAATCAAGTATTTTAAAACTAATAAAGSAAAATGGGGCCACCTTTTATTCTCATAAACAATAAAATATACAGCGTTAAATTACGGTAGCAATGCTCCGCCACGATAAAGCGTTCATCTGGGAAATCAGAGCACTAATTTCCTCAAAAAAATCATCATTATCATCATCCATATGATACTTTTCTCGCTTTTGTTGTTTCAATTTCACGCGCAGGAATTCAAAGGGAACTCTCGACTATAAACACACTTCAGTTAAGGTTACCTGTCACGTCTATTGCGAGTCTGACATAGGAAAGRAAAAACCTCAAGCACTCTTCTTGACCTTCCTTGGCAGCAAGGTGTAACAAGTTGAATGAATGTTCTTTGAATTCTAACTCTRGTCTGGCTTCTGTTTGATCTACAAGCCACTCTAGACACTTAACCTGACCATACTGAAAGATGAGATTAAAAAAAAAATGAAAAATTGTGAACACAATAAAAGGATAGAAAATTAAAAAACATCGCCAGCTATCATCGCAGGTGTTTTCATCACCAAGTGCAAACATCAACGTCATTATCATCATAACATGCAGTGCATGCGTGTTTGCGCCTTTTTAGCATTCTCGTACCCAGATCCTGCCTTCTCTTTCGGTCAGCGACGAGACCAAAAGTAACGCGGGCTCTGGGTACGAAATTGGCTTTTTAGGCAAATATACGTTTTTGGGTTTCCTGTGTTTATATTGTGACAGCACATTGGACATCAATAAGAACACAGCAAACCCAAAACCCTATTTTCTATTCTGCTGGCTACCATCATCATCATCACACATTTTTCATTTATTATATAATGCTCGCTTTCCCTAACATAATTCAAACTCCTTATTCCACAATGAATACCTGTGTTGCCATGGCAGTGGGTGTCATGCCATCATGGTTTCCAATAGCYACTGCCTCAATAGGTGCCCGCTTTACRAGCCACTTTAAACACTGRAGCCTGCCATTCTGTGCGGCTTTGTGCAGGGMGGTGTTGCCAGCAGCATCCCTMGCATTGATRAAAGACTCCTTRGTYGCACCCAAGTGGGAAACAGCATTTTGCTGGTACAAAAAAAAATATATATATGAGTTATTTTGAAGTTAATCATTGCCATTTAAGGACCACAATAATAAATGAGTGCATTGTCTATTTTGTACAAACATTATGACAGAAACAAAGACAACAGCTATTACAACAAAACAACATCAGATAACACAAGCAAAACAACAACAACCACAACCACAACCACAACCACAACAAAAAGTCATGACACCAGCTAATAAAACTTTGAGATAGTATTAAACATACATTAAATTATAAATTTATTCATGCACCCACCACTGTAATAAGATCCCCTGCCTCAGATGCTTGTATTAACACTTGACTCCAATCCTCTTGCTCCCCACTCTTCCCTAGACGGTCCCAGTTTTGCACTCTTGACAATGACTTTTGAAAATTAGTGAGTTGGTCATTTCCCTGAATCCTGGCAAAACCACTTGTCTGATCCTGGGAACTTGGTGGCAATATATATCCATTTGGGGGACTTCTAGTCATTTGTGGTGTAGATGTGTTGGGTGGACTGGAAAGGCGCAGGCGGTCGTCAATGTCAGCGGCAAGGTTTAACATGGATGTTGTACTAGCGATTGAGTTAAAGTCATCAAAATCATATTCTTCAACTTCGCTGTTTCGAACCTGATAAGGATATTGGATGAATAACATTAATATAACAATATGTCTTTGGAATAAATGATGAATAACAATTTAGATTACATGCACAAAACAGACAGAAATACAATGTCTACTTTTGAATATAAAGATATATTTTTTAAACAGTCGTGGTTAATAACTTCTGTTTGCTATGTTTATGGTTGGTTTAGACTACAAAAACATATAAGCGACCAACAATATGTGAATTGTAATCATGTATTTTGATTGTTGTTGTTTTATTTGAGTTGTACAGTATTAAAACCTTTTTTTTTCTAGACAATAGTGTATAAGCTTTCTTGTTTTTATCATTTCAGAATATTAGAAAAAAGAGAAATGTCTTTGAATTTTGTAACATACATCTTCAACACTGTTTCCAATGGATTTCAAACACTCGTTCATGTACTGTTCTTCTTGTTCAAATGTCTTTGGCAAGTCCTCCATGCTTCCCTCTTCAACAATGTTAGACAGAAAATCCTGCTTGCCTTTTTTGCTGACATGACTACAACATATAGACAATATACTTTAGATTTTATACACATAATGTATTGCATCACTGTACAAATATTATTATTCATTTATCTCTGTCTGTCTTTTTTCAAGTGTCCGACTGCCAGCTCACCAGCTTGTTAACCAGTCAGTCAGTTACTTAGTCAGCCAACCGACAAGTCAGTCAATCAATCTGTAATCTACTGGGCCAGACAGCTAGTTAGTCTCTATACATAACAAAACATAGAAGCTTGCATGCTCAACTTGGTCCTGAGTATCTCTTCTGTCTTTAGCCTTGTCCTATAGCCATKTATCTAACTGTTKAAAAAGTSAATTTGTAACATACCTTATTTGCTGGCCTTGCCTTTGACTGGCTGATTTCCGACCAGCAAATAGTCTACTTGACCAGCTATTTTTCAACATCTTGCCAGTTCYTCCATATTAGCATGCATATATCATCCAATAAGCCTGGATCTCAGCATGTTTGAAGAAATTTCTGTATCAAATTAAAGTGGAACAGTACTGATTATACCAAGATCCAAGGAAATTGATATATAGTTAAACTTTGCAGTTAATTCTAAAGAAAGTTATGATTGTAATTTTTAGTGAAAGGGCACATGCAATCAATGAAAAAACATTGTCATAGCTGATAGATACAGTGCAATCTACCTAATTACCAACATACAAAATATCAAACACTTATTGTTCCTTGTAAATAAAAATCAGATTATAACAATTCGTTTATGCTCAAAAATGTGTTGATAGACCTTTAGGTCAACCCCATGAAGTTAAAGCTTATTAAAAACTCATATAAACTTTTAAGTACAACCATATGATGGCTTATAATTACATTATAACAGCTTTCTGTGACGATTACTTGTGAATTCAGCGTGATTTGACACATTCACACATGTATGTGTGTTTAGCAAATATTTTGTACAAATACCCTTGAGTTTCTCTGTTTGCGTTAAGACTTCAAGCAAACATGGCGAAGCC